AAGGAAAGACCCTTGCGATTTGAGAGCCGGACTCTCTGTACGACGGAGAGGAACTACTCTCAGTTCAAGAGGGAGACCCTTGCTGTCCTCCATTGTCTGCGAATCTTCCGGAATTATATCTTTGGCGGGAGGTTTATTTTGAGAGTGGATCTGACCGCCCTGACCTACTCTCTAAGGAATTACGTTCCATCGGATTCGACGATTGCCAGATGGCTGACGTACATCTGGATGTTCAATTTCGAATTGGAACGGATTCCTGATAGTAAGAACCGGGCGGACGGGCTGAGTTGGATCAACTGGGATAAGCAGGAAGGGGAGGCGGTGGAGAATACGCCCCCAGTTGATGGATTTCTGGATCAGGAAGAAGATGTTCGTCTTCATATCAACAAATGGTCGCCGCGAGTGCCTAGCTGTGTAGGCTATCCTATCTGGCAAGCCCCGAAGGGGTATGAAAGGAGGAATGAGTTAGTCTTTAAGCCCTTTGAAGAAGAGGATCCCTGGGGCGGTAAGGATGTTCAGTGGATGATGGAATTAGCGCTGGCCAGCTCGCATAGCCTGGTGGAGGATATGAGGACGATTGAGGAAGGACCTGGCCAGGTAGAACGACATGAGGACCTGATGGGAGGAATGTATCTCCTCGTCAATACGTTATTGCAGGAAAGCTTAGACCAGTCAGGCTCGTTGAACCCGGCAGGGAATGTGAACGAAATACCCGAGAGCCAGGACGACGAGTTCGAAGAAGGGGAAATTAAGGAGGCTTTTCGTGCAGAGGAGTACGACGGGATCTACCTAGAGCTGGGGCTTCTTCTGTCATGTGAAATGCGGCTAAGAGATGCGAGCGATAGGGCTCAAAGGATGCTGCAACGCTACTTAGTGCGAGACGGTCACCTTTTCGTGAGAAGGGAAGTGGGGAATCCCAAGAGGGTCGTCTGCGGTAAGAATCGTCAGATCGACGTCGTAGCATCACTACACGATGACATTGCAGGAGGGCATCGGGGTGTACAAGCCACGTATGCCAAGATAAGTGAGTTGTACTACTAGGATGGAATGATGGACATGGTCGGAAAATTCTGTCGATCTTGCGTACCCTGCTAGGAGAGATCCCGTTTAAGGCAGGGAGAGCCGCTTCATCCAAGGTTAGAGTGAGAGGTAGGGGCCATAGTGCATCTCGATCTGCTTTTTATGCCACTTGGGGATCAGGGCTATAACTATATCTTCGATGCGCGCGATAACCTGTCTGGGTTCGTAGACGGGCGAGCTATTCGCACGAAGACCGAGTTAGTCCTGGTGAGCTGCATCGAGGAGTACTACCTGCGTTATCCTTTCGTCAGGGAACTCGTAATGGACAGGGGATCAGAGTTTACCTGCCAGGAGGTGCAAAAACTGTTAGCAAGATATGGTGTGGCAGCCAACTACACCACGGCCGCGCACCCCCAGGCAAATGCTCCCGTAGAGAGAGGACATAGTACCATTACGAACCTCCTGGCCAAATGGACCGAAGGTAGGCCTAATCAATGGCCAAGATACCTAAGGGCGGCTTTCTTTGTCGAAAACATTACAGTAAAGAGATCCACCAAGTACGCA